AAATCTTTCCTGCCACAAGATAAAAACGAAATCTACAAAGTACACGCAATTAACCTAGAAATGCAGAATGAATGCTAAACTCCAGGAGAATTTTGTATTTGTATCGAGTTTGTAAAGGAAGGCTCAACAAAAAAGACTTCTCAAAAGCCGTACTCAATTATAAATACCGCCAGTGAGTGGACATTATTAATGGACATGTATGAACATCATTAAAGAATACCGGAGGATATCTGTGCTCCGGCGTCCAGACCAGACATATTTCTTTATGCAATTTCAATTAAGAGTGTAGTACTTGTAGAACTCACGGTGCCGTGGGAAGCAAACATCCCTAAAGACCACGCATTGAAAAGAAACAAGTACTTTAACTTAACTAACGAATTTTTTTTTTATGTCGTTGCGTTGTATGCCGTGGAAGTGGGTGTGAGGGGTATACCAGCTAAATCCCTTTAAAACCTACTCAAAGACCTCGAATTGCCAAGAGCTACAATAAGCTCTTTTCTTGAACGAATATCAAAAGCGGCTGGCATCAAATATGGCTAAGTAGAGGGGGTAAGACAGTGGAGGTGAGCGCTGACGCGTCGCAAGGAGTATTCCCTAAACGACCTCCTGCTTAGCAGTCAGGGTCACTAACCACCAGACCAACAGGCCCGTCATATAATGAAGAAACAAAATTTCAGAGAGCTCACACTCTCCGGCAATAGCTTAACCTTAATACCGTGGGAGACCCATGACTCGACACAAAGAGTGACACACAGAAAACTGTGTGTTCAGCAATTCTTTCGTGCTGAGTAAGCTGAAGTTACCGGAGCCCAAACCTGACTTCCCCCAGATTCTTGGGATTCGAAAGGCGGCAACGCTCTTATGACTTTTGAGTTGCAGTTGCTCATGGACGGCGGTAGTCACTTACCATCAGGTAACCCGTCTGCTCGTTTTTATTCGATGTGTTCTGGTAACTGATTTTCTTTAAAAGCTTGAACTCCATTATGTGAGACTAAAATGATGGTCTCACCAAACCTATATGGTGTTTGAATCAAATGAAAAGTTATTTATTTTAATAGTAAGCATCCCTGTGGTGACGGATTAAGAATAAGGAATGTCACCAGCCCTATTCATCCCGTGGGCATCGTAAGAGCCGACTAAGGGAGTAAACTGTGCAGGACAACAGCTCTGCAAAAAGAAGGAAAACGTGACACAAACCCTGTACGAACCCGTCTGGCCAGCGTGGTATAGTAGGCCCATGTCCAGCAGTGGATTACTAAAGGCTGTTGATGATGATGACGATTTTTAGTAGTTAAGTGTCTTTGTTGTACTCATCACCAAGCTTTACATCATCATCATCACCAGCCTTTAATAGTCCACTACTGGACATAGGCCTCTCCTTAGAAAGGAGGTTTTGGCCTACTATACCACGCTGGCCAGACGGGTTGGTATAGGGTTTGTGTCAAGTTTTCCTTTTTTTTTGCAGTGCTGGTGTCCTGCGTTGTTTTGCGCCCTTAGTCAGCTCAAAGGGCACCCACGGGATGAATTGGGGTAGTGACATTCCGTATTCTTAATCCGTCACTACACGGACACGCTTCACAATCACAAATAAAATACACATTTTTGTATTTAAATATTATTCTAACATGATTTATTTTCCTGTTTTTTTTGCCTCTTGACTCCATTTTTATTTAACTGCATTTTTGACCTACCTAGCGTTATGTTCAGTGTCCTAGAGTCACTACTATGCGTCGTGGTCTAGGTCTAGGTCGAATTGACGTAGTAGTCATAACAAAGGGCTCCAAGATATAAGTGAAAAGTGAATCACACCTAAAACTCTTTTAGCTGGTACAAAACGTCGGGAAACAGTTGGCATTATTATGATAAGATTTTATGGCAGCTATTGAATCATAAATTGACATTTTCCTCGTCATCTATTCCATTCCATCATCATTCATCAGTCACGATTTGGAACCAGGACTGAGACTGCGGTTGGTTATGTTCTGTAGACACTTTTAAGTAGTTAAAATTACTTGAAGCTTAATGGGGAAAACCAGTTCTCAGTTTATCATTAATCACCTTTATTAGTGTTTTAGCTGCGCTGCTGCGCTGTTTGCGCCTAATAAATTAGTGTGAAAGTTTTATGATTCTCATGTTTTCTGTAAAAAAATGACTCATCAGGGAATTACCATCTGTAGTCTACAAGAAAAATGAAGTATAAGCAAGACTCGATATGAGATTTTTCGTTCTTAATAAGCTATGCGTAATATCCGGTGTCTGGCATCAGTATTATTTACTTGTTGTATAATTATTTACTCTTTATAACTACAAAAACTTAAAAAATAGAATCTACTTATCTATAAGAGTAAAGTTAGTTTAAATACGGTGTCTTTCAAAGATTTAAAATTTTTTTTTTGTTAAGTTCAATATTTCAGAATGTCTGAACAATATTTTTTTACCCATGATTAATAATTAATAGCTTAAATTGACGCCTGTGTTAAATCCGATGAGAAGTGATAATTAAAATCAGTTCACAATAGCCAAAGATATCGTGCAACAAACTCACAAAATACAGCAGAATGAAAAAACCTACCTTCTTTTTACACGCTTTATATTAGCTTCACTTGTATGTTTTTTTGTAACCGACTCCTTTGGGCGTGATTTTGACTGGCTTTAAAAGGTCAGAATTCGGTCAAACTTTGTAGATATATCGAGGACCGATGACAATACACTAATTTTTAAAAAAAAAGTAGCTTTAAAAAACTAAAAAACACGCTTTTTATAGAAAACCAAACTAAAAAATAGAAAATAAATTTCAATAAATTTGAAAAAAAGCGTTGGGTGCCAATAGTAAAAAACACCCCACGCTTTTTTGAAATTTATTAAAATTTATTTTTACAAGTAAATTATTATTTTTTTGTCGTTAACAATGCGCAGGAGTAAGTTTACTTTCACTAGCGACATCTGGATTCTAATTCCGACTACAGATAAACTGAAGTCAAAATTCGCGTTACGCTGTTGCTTAAACTGACATTAGAGTTTTGTGTTTATGGTATAATCGGGCAAAGGAGCAGACGGGTCACCTAATGGTGACATCTGCAACTCAAAAGTCCCAAGTGTGTTGCTGCCCTTGGAGTCCCTCCCGCTCAAGTAAGCGGCAGGGACTCCAAGGAGGATTTGGGCTCCGGTAACCTCACTCACTTAGTGAATGGCAACGAAAGAATTGCATAACACCGGTTTTCTGTGAGGCCGTGGTATCACTCAGATGCAAACATTTCTTTCTGAAAATTATGACAAAATGAACTAACCTTTTTAAACTTTAAGAAACTAGAATCAACGTCTGTGATACGTTACATAAAGAAATCTCACCAATTAAAAGTAATCTCACCAATTTGGTCATGTTATAACTTAGTATCGAATGAAGCTCTATCGACAGACCCTACCTTACTTATTAATATAAATACACTTCCTTTATCGATATTATAGATATCTTATTCTACGACCTCTAATAGATTAGGAACATACGCTGCATTAGGAACATAATTATGTGTTTAAATATCGCGGCATGCTCAGCACTTGTACGCGGCACATGTCATTTCTTTTCTTAAAAAGACAACTCCCGCATTAGGAATATATCCTGTGTCGCGGGGGACTTTACAAACATACATGAAACGGACACAAAGAACACCCAGACTCAGAACAACAATTTGTGGATCACACAAAGTGTCGTCACATGTGGGGTTTGAACCCACAACACGCGGCGTAGTAGGAAGCGGCGTGGCGACCGCTTAAACCACTACGCCATCCGTGCAGACATGTGTTTCTAAGATTAGGCCTTTTGCAATAGAATTTTTAATATTTAGTTTTTACATCTTTATATTCAATCTTGCACGTTTTAGAATAGCATATACTAGTTTTATGTTTGCTTTGGTAACAAACTTTATATAAGAATCTAATGACAATAAGATAAAAATCATGCACAAAATGTAACTAAGACTTTATTCTGATTCTGCAAACATATATTTTAAGATGATCTGAAAAGAATGCAATGCATATACATGATATTTACATATTAATTATTATTACTTGTGCTTGATGCCCTCGTCTCATCCATTAGTATCTTTTTTGCTGTATTTTATCGGTTGGCTGTACCTACATTGTGGAGCATAAAATAAGATAAATTTTATTGTTTGACTAAGCGATTGCATGTCAATGAAACCATTAGAGTTTTATCTTGCTCTTTGTGTGTTTTATGACCGACCTCCGCGTTTTAATTTTATTTCGTTAAATTAGCCATACATAACTAAGTATAGTAACTTTTAAATTTATGTACGTATGTGTATTTTAGCAGTGGGAGCCGGTTTGACGGGAATCGTACCACGGCCTCACGGAAAACCGGTGTCCAGAAAGTATTTCGTTACTTTTCGCCGATTGAGTGAGATTATCAGATACCCAGCCCCCCCCCCCCCCCTCCCTATCCCCCTGACATACTTGTGTCTCTCTTTAAAAAAGAAACAACTCTCGCATTATTTATATATTCCTGTATCGCGAGGGACTTTACAAACATACATGAAACGGACGCAAAGAACACCCAGACTTAAAACAACAATATAATTTGTGGATCACACAAAGTGAATAGAATACAGAACGTCACCACCCCTATGCATCCCGTGGGTGTCGTAAGAGCCGACTAAGGGAGCAAACTACGCAGGACAACAGCACTGCAGAGAGAAGGAAAACTTGACCCAAACCCTATTCCAACCAGTCCTCCAGCCAGCGTGGTATAGTCGGCCAAATTTATGTACTTATGTAACCTCCTTTTCAAAGAGTGGCCTATGTCCATTAGTTGACTCTTAAAGGCTATTATTGTGGTGTGACGATGGGAAGAGATCACGACCAGCGCAATCTGATCAAAATGTCAACACTCGGCGTACTAGGAAGCGGCGTGGCGACCGCTTAAACCACTACGCCATTCGTGCAGTCAATTATATGTGAGTCTTAACTTTAAATCTTTTCTACAGAATGGCAACAATAAAATCGGTGAGAATGATTCGGAGAAGGCGAAACAACCGCTGCTGGAGCCACCACTTGGCAAACAGCTCCCACCTCTAGCTGGTGAGTGCTTATTTACAATAATTACTTAACTTTTTAAAAGATATTTTATAAACAACCAGTTACAGCTAACTTTAAACTGACTGACTGTATTGACTCTCTTTTAATAATGAACAAGTCTGATAACTAAATTCCAGACAGAATGGTATATCCAAATAGGTTTAACTTCAAATTAAAACGATAACTATGTCTTAAACGCCATTACTTAGAAGTAGATTGCGTACATGTGTTTCTTATTTGCTATTTCTAATTGTTTTTTCTACTTTGTTCACTATAACTTATCTTTAGTTTGTTTACTTTAAGTCTTAATGACACAGTTTATCACCATTTTCTTATTTGTTTCAATTTTTTATAACTGTCTGGTGATTTACAAAAGTTGTTGTTGTTTATCCCGATTTGTTCTCACAAGGGTCATTTAAATATGGACACAAGAAGATACGGTATTATCTGTTACGTTACGTCTATAAATAGCTTGGGAAACCCAAGGACTGAGACTGCGGTTGGTTATGTTCTGTAGACACTTTTAAGTAGTTAACACACACTGTAGACACTTTTAAGTAGTTAAAATTACTTGAAGCTTAATGGGGAAAACCAGTTCTCAGTTTATCATTAATCACCTTTATTAGTGTTTTAGCTGCGCTGCTGCGCTGTTTGCGCCTAATAAATTAGTGTGAAAGTTTTATGATTCTCATGTTTTCTGTAAAAAAATGACGCATCAGGGAATTACCATCTGTAGTCTACAAGAAAAATGAAGTATGAGCAAGACTCGATATGAGATTTTTCGTTCTTAACAAGCTACGCGTAATATCCGGTGTCTGGCATCAGTATTATTTACTTGAATATACATATTTATTTACTCTATATAACTATAAAAACTTAAAAAATAGAATCTACTTATTTATAAGAGTAAAGTTAAATACGCTGTCATTCAAACATTTAAAATAATTTTTTTGTTAAGTTCAATATTTCAGAATGTCTGAAAATATTGTTTTACGCATGATTAATAATTAATAGCTTAAATTGACGCATGTGTTAAATCCTATGAGAAGTGATAATTAAAATCAGTTTACAATAGCCAACGATATCGTGCAACAAACTCACAAAATACAGCAGAATGAAAAACCTACCTTCTTTTTACACGCTTTATATCAGCTTCACTTGTATGTTTTATTGTAACCAACTCCTTTGGGCGTGATTTTGACTGACTTTAAACGGTCAGAATTCGGTCAAACTTTGTAGATATATCGAGGACCGATGCCAATACACTAATTAAAAAAAAAAATAGTTTTAAAAAACTAAAAAACACGCTTTTTATAGAAAACCAAACTAAAAAAAGCCGTGTGGTATCGTGGGACACCCGATAGGAACGAAGTTGTTACGATCGAGTAAAACTGATTAGACACGATTTTAATTACAACGCCATCTATGAAAGCGGCTATTACCTACATATTTTTCAGTTGGTTTCTAATTAAAACAATTTATACATTGGTAAAATCTCCTTGAGAAATGATGTCGAATACAATATTTTTTGCTCAACCTAAGAACATAAATTTTAATTTTACTATTCGATAGATGGCGCTGAATGAATGACAAGTGACAATTCAAAATAAAGTGTCGTGACCAATTTTCGTAAGATTTTTTTTCCGTCTAGCCCCCTTTCACAACGCGCGATAAGGAACTTCGTTCCAAATAGAAAATAAATTTTAATAAATTTGAAAAAAGCGTTGGGTGCTTGTTGTCAATAGTAAAAAGCACCCCACGCTTTTTTTGAAATTTATTAAAATTTATTTTTAAAGTAAATTAATATATTTTTTGTGGTTAACAATGCGCAGGAGTAAGTTCACTTTCACTTGCGACACCTGGATCCTAACTCCGACTACAGATAAACTGAAGTCAACATTCGCGTTACGCTGTTGCTTAAACTGACATTAGAGTTTTGTTTTTATGGTATAAGGGGGCAAACGAGCAGACGGGTCACCTGATGGTGACATCTGCAACTCATAAGTCCCAAGTGTGTTGCTGCCCTTGGAGTCCCTCCCGCTCAAGTCAGCGGCAGGGACTCCAAGGAGGATTTGGGCTCCGGTAACCTCACTCACTCAGTGAATGGCAACGAAAGAATTGCATAACACCGGTTTTCTGTGAGGCCGTGGTATCACTCAGATGCAAACATTTCTTTCTGAAATTTTCTATTTAACTAATTCTGACTGATTGACAAAATGAACTAACCTTTTTAAACTTTAAGAAACTACACTCGGTTCCAAAAATTACGGGTAAGTCACAAAAATTGAAATACCTCCAGAACTGTAAAAGTTAGATCAATGAAATAAAAACAGAATTAAGACTTTTTAGTTGCGCTTCATATTAGCTAGTATATTATTTAAACTGGTTGATAAAAAAAACTTCATTAGAAAAACAAAATTTAAAAAAAATGACTATTTTAAAAACAAAATTTTTGTTTCATTTCATTATAGATGCTTTCCATTTCTATTCTGTCAAAATTATCGTGAACGTCTTCCACGTGCATAATTGTTAGTCTGTGAGGTGAAGCATGACAGTCACGCTAGAGGAATGTACCAGAATCCTAACTTTTTTGGAACTTGGGCGGAGCCAGCGTGAAACAGTCACAAACATTGGTGTATCTTTGTCGACTGTTCAGCGGGTAGTCCAGCGGTACCAAGAGACCGGATCACACCTTAGAAGACCAGGAAATGGCTGACCAAGATGCACAACGGCCAGGGAAGATAGACAACTGGTGGCTACAATGCTCCGAAATCGTTTTCAAACTGCTGTTGGTCTAAAAACTCACTTTATTCGCTTTGGAGGTGGCAATTTAAGCGCTCAAACAGTAAGAAGACGTTTTGCTGAAGCAAATTTGAAACCATTGAGGCCCGCAAATGGCCCCAAACTGGAACGGGGACATCGAATTGCAAGACAAAGATACGTGCGCGAGCACCTAAACTGGACACTAGACGATTGGTCTAGGGTAATGTTCACGGACGAGTCTAAATTCATGCTGTATAAGCATGATGGTAGGCAGTTGGTGTACAGAAGACCAGGGGAGCGCTTCCATCAAGCGTGTGTGGAGGAAAAAGTGGCGTACGGTGGAGGCTCCGTACAAGTTTGGGCTGAGATTTCTACTGAGGCCCGCACCGAGCTGGTACTCATTCAAAATGGAACTCTAAATGCAGAGAGGTACGTGGAAGAGATCCTCAATGAACATGTAGGTCCTTTTCATGGCCAGGATGGACCGGCATGGCATATTAATGCATGATAATGCGCGTCCCCATACCGCCAGAATTGTACATGACTACCTTGAAGAGGTCGGTATCGAACTCATGCAGTGGCCAGCGCGAAGCCCGGACTTAAACCCCATTGAGCACGCCTGGGACGAGCTTCAGAGATGCGTGAAAGGTCGAAACCCCCCACCAATCACGCTTCCCGAGCTCAAACAAGCACTGGTGGAGGAATGGGAAGATATTCCTCAGCACCAGCTCCGAAATTTGGTGTACAGCATGCCTAATCGCTTGGAAGCTGTCAGAAGAGCTCGTCGAGGCAATACAAAGTATTAAATGAAGAAAGTGATGAAAAACAGCAAAAAAACAATCATGAAAAAATGTAATCTTAAGAAAAATATGACTACTTGAGTTTTTTTTTTAATTTAGAGATAAGTTAAGAGTTAGAGAGTTTAGATTTAAGTTTTATTTTAATTTTTATCTGTATAATTAAATTCTCAATTGAACAGTCTTCGTTACATTAGGATGGCATACGTAGTTCGGGAGATATTCGGGTTTATGTGACTGACCCGTTATTTTTGGAACCGAGTTTAGAATCAACGTCTGTGGTACGTTACATAAAGAAATCTCACCAATTAAAAGTATTTGGTCATGTTATAACTTAGTATCGAATGAAGCTCTATCGATAGACCCTACCTTACTAATTAATATAAATACACTTCCTTTATCGATATTATAGATATCTTATTCTACGACCTCTAATAGATTAGGAACATAATTATGTGTTAACATAATGCTAGTGTTCATGGCGATCGCGGCATGCTCAGCACTTGTACGCGGCACATGTCATTTCTTTTCTTAAAAAGACAACTCCCGCATTAGGAATATATCCTGTGTCGCGGGGGACTTTACAGAAATACATGTAACGGACATAAAGAACACCCAGACTGAGAACAACAATTTGTGGATCACACAAAGTGTCGTCCTATGTGGGGTTTGAACCCACAACACTCGGCGTAGTAGGAAGCGGCGTGGCGACCGCTTAAACCACTACGCCATCCGTGCAGACATGTGTTTCTAAGATTAGGCCTTTTGCAATAGAATTTTTAATATTTAGTTTTTACATCTTTATATTCAATCTTGCACGTTTTAGAATAGCATATACTAGTTTTATGTTTGCTTTGGTAACAAACTTTATATAAGAATCTAATGACAATAAGATAAAATCATGCACAAAATGTAACTAAGACTTTATTCTGATTCTGCAAACATATATTTTAAGATGATCTGAAAAGAATGCAATGCATATACATGATATTTACATATTAATTATTATTACTTGTGCTTGATGCCCTCGTCTCATCCATTAGTATCTTTTTTGCTGTATTTTATCGGTTGGCTGTACCTACATTGTGGAGCATAAAATAAGATAAATTTTATTGTTTGACTAAGCGATTGCATGTCAATGAAACCATTAGAGTTTTATCTTGCTCTTTGTGTGTTTTATGACCGACCTCCGCGTTTTAATTTTATTTCGTTAAATTAGCCATACATAACTAAGTATAGTAACTTTTAAATTTATGTACGTATGTGTATTTTAGCAGTGGGAGCCGGTTTGACGGGAATCGTACCACGGCCTCACGGAAAACCGGTGTCCAGAAAGTATTTCGTTACTTTTCGCCGATTGAGTGAGATTATCAGATACCCCGCCCCCCCCCCCCCCTCCCTATCCCCCTGACATACTTGTGTCTCTCTTTAAAAAAGAAACAACTCTCGCATTATTTATATATTCCTGTATCGCGAGGGACTTTACAAACATACATGAAACGGACGCAAAGAACACCCAGACTTAAAACAACAATATAATTTGTGGATCACACAAAGTGAATAGAATACAGAACGTCACCACCCCTATGCATCCCGTGGGTGTCGTAAGAGCCGACTAAGGGAGCAAACTACGCAGGACAACAGCACTGCAGAGAGAAGGAAAACTTGACCCAAACCCTATTCCAACCAGTCCTCCAGCCAGCGTGGTATAGTCGGCCAAATTTATGTACTTATGTAACCTCCTTTTCAAAGAGTGGCCTATGTCCATTAGTTGACTCTTAAAGGCTATTATTGTGGTGTGACGATGGGAAGAGATCACGACCAGCGCAATCTGATCAAAATGTCAACACTCGGCGTACTAGGAAGCGGCGTGGCGACCGCTTAAACCACTACGCCATTCGTGCAGTCAATTATATGTGAGTCTTAACTTTAAATCTTTTCTACAGAATGGCAACAATAAAATCGGTGAGAATGATTCGGAGAAGGCGAAACAACCGCTGCTGGAGCCACCACTTGGCAAACAGCTCCCACCTCTAGCTGGTGAGTGCTTATTTACAATAATTACTTAACTTTTTAAAAGATATTTTATAAACAACCAGTTACAGCTAACTTTAAACTGACTGACTGTATTGACTCTCTTTTAATAATGAACAAGTCTGATAACTAAATTCCAGACAGAATGGTATATCCAAATAGGTTTAACTTCAAATTAAAACGATAACTATGTCTTAAACGCCATTACTTAGAAGTAGATTGCGTACATGTGTTTCTTATTTGCTATTTCTAATTGTTTTTTCTACTTTGTTCACTATAACTTATCTTTAGTTTGTTTACTTTAAGTCTTAATGACACAGTTTATCACCATTTTCTTATTTGTTTCAATTTTTTATAACTGTCTGGTGATTTACAAAAGTTGTTGTTGTTTATCCCGATTTGTTCTCACAAGGGTCATTTAAATATGGACACAAGAAGATACGGTATTATCTGTTACGTTACGTCTATAAATAGCTCAAAACGTCGATTACACAATTACTTCACATGCTAAACATTTAACTGGTACCGATAACATAGATACAGAAAAATCTAAGTCTGCTAGCTATCGAATGCAATGATATCCACGTGCTTAACCGCATTTTCGCGCTAGTAATTGCGATATAGAGCGTGTAAAAAGAGAAAATTTCAGATGAATATCAACTAAAGATTCGTAGTTCAAAGATTTTGAGACTCGATGATTTCCACCCGAGTTCTTGTTGGAGATTTTCTTGTTTAATCAGTGGTAACATACAAAACTTGCAAATTTTTTTACATAAAATAAAATCACGAGAAATTTAAGCGGCGTCACGAAACGGGTAATCTCGAATAAAAATTAAGTGAATACTAGTCTACTTGACATAAAGTCATAAATACCCTATGGTTAGTATGTTTTAATCCTGTTGCCCTTTTAAATAATCGTTTCGCGTGTGTCTCTGCATTTCGGTCACAGTCAACTTGTGTCTACTGTTTTGAAGAAGTTTAAATTTGGTACACGTATCAAATTCTAGATCCAAACAGATGTCTATTACTTAAATGACTTTTGTTAAATGGTTTGGGGAACCAAATCAGAAAATCTACAAAAAATGATAGAATGTATTCTATACTTGTATATTTATTTATTTTTATTTTAAAACTTTATGCACAAGTATGGGTTGTACAATAGCGGACTTAATGCCACAGGCATTTTCTCCCAGTCTACCTTAGGATGGTGCTGAAATGTGTGACTAGGTGCACTAGATATTGATGTGTAAAGTAAGAGAAAATTATTGAGAACTTAGACAGACACAATATCATAAATACATATATACATATGTACCAAATACATACACATACATAAATACTTACCTAGTTACATACATACATAAACATACATATTTATAATATATAAAACTTTAAGGTTGTAATGAATCTGCTAGGGTGTCCAGAATGCGAGCTCGAACTTTCATCTTGAGTGAGAGACGGCTGGGTGCTATCCTGATTTCCATAGGTAGAGCTATATTTTTGAATACTCTGTTTGGCTGTGCATCGCCCTAGAGTGGACTGGTAGAAAATGCTTACATCTTTATGCCAAACTTGTGCATAAAGATTATATAAAAAGCAAAGTGAAATAATCAAATGAGAGGACTCTTTGTAATATATAATTAATTTATAATTTTAAGTTACATATGCATGAAATTAAAATAATATTCCTTTTCCTGCAGGGCCTGAAATAGACGACCTGGATGGGGACCCTCCTAAGGACGCCACTCCTTATCCCGGCATTGATGACGGTCTGCTGGAGCATTCTGACAAAAAACCTGAAATCTCCGATCACGGTACTACTTTTTTGTAAATTTTAACATATTTTGTTTATTTTTTGTTAAATAATTTTTATTTCATTAAACAAAACGTTTTACTGAATCTATGTATGAGACCGACAATTCGCACCGTCGCGTCGTTCGCCAAAGTAAATTAACTATTTCCTGGAAATCAGTGATGGTGGGAGAACTATGACTAGGCATTTATGGGGCCGCCATGATCGGAGTGCTAATCCGTCTGGTATGAAATAATAATCTGTAAAAAAGCTAAATCAGTATTTATCTACATTTTCCCATTACCATTCCTTAAAAATCTAACATTCGTTACTTCATACGACGACCGGATGGCTTAGTGGTTTGTGTAACGGAGCAGTCCGTTTCTAAAGGTCGTGGGTTTGATTCCCGCTCAAGTCAAACATTTTGTGTGCATGAACTTTTAATGTTTGATTTGTTCTGGGTGTTTCTATGTATAATATGTATGTATTTACAAAAAAAAAAAATATGTATAACAGTTGTCTAGTACCCATAGTACAAGCTCTGCTTAGTTTGGGACTAGATGGCGTTGTGTGAATGTGGTACAATATTATTTTACGAAACGTTATTATCCTATCAGTAATCGTATCCAAAATCGGAGTACTATTCGTATATCCTCATCCAATCCCTAATAAAAATCATGAAATAAGCTCTCCAAGATCATTCACTTGCCATGTTGATGTTTTAATTAACATCAATTCCTCACATTCCTATTCATAATCCAACTATGTATTATTTATGTATATATCGTATTGTATGTTGTGTGTGGTTGGCGCTCTTTGGGGGAGGCCTTCGTTCAGCAGTGAACGGCAATAGGCTGAAGAAGTATGTGTATCAACCATATCCAACAAGTAATAATAATAATAACGTTGGACGGCTGGATCAAGGGTCTGATGCAGAAGGCAGTCCTCCTTGACACGGCTCGTATAGTGAGGAGGTTCCTATCTTTGGAGTTATAACCATCGGTGTCCTGGTCCCTGTACCCGATGTCGGTGGTCTACTATTTTTTATATTTTATTTCTTTTGTAATATATTTTAAAATGTAATTAATATCTCGTATGTATAATTTAATAAAGAGAACTATAATAATATTTATTGTACCAGTACAAATACAATACAATTTGTTCAACATAAAACCAGTATAACTGACACATTAAAAATAAGATAGCCTACGTTGCCAAACTAGGTAAAAAAAACCTGTATTTCAGCTTACTGCGCCATTCCCCACGATAATTTTAACTTAACTAGCATCAAAAGACTGTGTTCGACAAATAAAGTACAATATTCTATAGGGGTTCCCAAACTTAATTTGTCTACTGCCCACTTTGAGAATACTTATTGCCTGTTTGCAAATTCTGTTAAAATGTGATCCATATTGAATTAACAATTTTTTTAATTCATTGCATGTACCATTATCCATTGTATGCCCAATGGGCGTGACATAGCCGGACTAAATACCATAAAACTATATCATCTATATAATGTACCTATGATCTACAATAAAGATTACTTACTTACTTACTTAAATTATATTTTAGCGCCCCCATTTTTTCACCTACTTAAAAACCACTGTAACTTCAAATTAAATTGATTTTATGTGAGCTATATTAGCGTTGTAGTCGAGAGTCGAGAGCTTAGTGGTTGTCTCAGAGTCCTTCTAGCTAGATGAAATTACAAATCGCCCCTCAACCCTCTACACAACGCCCCTATTTTGTTTCTGGGTCTCTTACCGCCCTCCTTTAGGTCTCCCACAAGGGAGCGTTATCGCTCACTTTGGGAAAGGCTGTTCTATAGTATGACCATTCATCAAAAACGAATGAAATGAAATGTGTGAAGTAACACGACAGTGAACTTTGTATTTGAATGTAATTTCGTTTGTCGTCTTGCGAATAGGTTAGCAATAACCTCACTATCTCACAGTTTAAAACAGCAACAATATTTATATTTAAAGAGAGTTTATATACGACTAAAAGATAATGAATTTCTGCTAATTATAAAACAATGTTATCATTCATGCCATGTGTAACATTGAAAAGAGTTTTAGTCGTTTCTTTTATGGTTGGCTGCTTGCCTGATGACGTAACTCCTTGGGAATATAAACGTCTTCAGACAAGACAAAGACAGAAAGTGAACTGGGGTAAAAAAAACGAATGGGAAGAAGCTAGGAACAGATATACCGTAGCTCTCGTATGGACTACCTATATGTCCGTCATGTGCTTGGAGGGCTAGTACCTAGGGCTGGGGCATCCATTAGCAAACAGACATGTTATTTTATGGAGGGGCAACTGAGCAGACGGGTTACTTGCTGGTAAGTGACTTCCACCGCCCAAGGACACCTGCAACTCAGGAGTCAAAATGCCGCCCTTAAATTCCCCCTCCCAGAATACATGAGGTCATGATATCACTAAAGTCGAGTTTTTCCTTTTGTGCCAAGGTATGGCTCTCGTTGTTATAAAGATTCCTTATCTAATTTGGCTCAAGAATATTATAAACTATTTAATTTTACGCAAAACACAGAACTTTTTATTTGTTACTTTGTAGGTTATGGCTCCAGGATGTGGTCAATGATGCACGTCGATAAACGTTTAGGTATATGAAAGAACCATAAAGAGATATACAAAATATTGGTCAAAACTTTTGTTTAATGGTTAAAACTTGTAATTGTATGTGGTGGTTGGACGCCGACGTATTCGTGTCTATTCTGTGCTGTGTTTAATTCAATTAAAAAAAATAAACTATGTCTCTTGTGTTCATACGAGGTACGTATAACAGTAAATTCTCACCACATTTTTCTATTAGGTTGATAAATAAATTAAGTAAAATTAAATTTGTTTAATGTACACAAAAAAGGCTAACATAATTTACTTACTGAAATCTACTTACTAGCAAAATTGTGTACAACTGGCGCCACTATCGCAATTTGGATGGATAAAGAAATGTCTCTATCCATCCAATGCATGGTATTTTGGTGTTACTCTGAAGCCACTCTTATCCCTTGATGAGTGTGTCTGCAGTGCGTAGTATATTAATATACGTAATTTTTAGAGATGCTTAGTTTTTAAAACTGTAAATTAAGACTTTATCCAGATAGTATTCTCGTGTACGAAACACGAGAATACTTTAATAATTTGATTTTAAATATTAATAAAAAATACTTCAATAATTTGATTTTAAATATTAATAAAAATATCGATTAGACAAAAGTTCGTTTTGAGTAATTCACTCGTAAAATACTTTAGTACGTATTAAACATATCTTTATGTAGTTTCGAACAATTCATGAAATGTTTTACTTTAAAAACAACAACCGCATTTATGTGTTGTTTTCCAAATATTTAAACATTACAATATATAACATTAACAACACAAAGAAAATTCAAACTCGGCTGTCGCGGCGTGTTGGCGACTCTTTTACGAGTGAAAACCGCCTCCCGGGCCCTCTCCGCCGCCTCGCAGAAGGAGGCGGCGGAGGAGGCCCGGCAAGATGACTTCCACTCGGACCCAATTCGTCGCCCGCGAACCGGGCGGCGGAGGCGCGCTTACCACCGCCTCATGAAGCCCTGAGTGTGGCCGCGGGTGGACGAGACGGGTTTTCCCCTCCACCCGCCATTACAGGCAGCTGCGGGGAGCCTAAATAGATAATGAACCTGAAGCTGGTGCCCGTGCCGTTGCGCTAGGAGGGGTCCGGATGACAATAACAGCTATCCCTCCTATTACAAGCGCAGAGTGGCACACCGTGTGGTTTCAGTCGGTGCGATTCCAACACACCACCGGCTAATGGTCAGCTTCAGAGTTTTCCACGGTGATGGCGACTCAACCCAGCCATTTTAACCATTACTCCAATCGTACAATCGAAGCGAGGCGAGTGACCAGTCGATAAAACTAATCGATTTTAAACTGCGTTTTACTTAATATATTTTTCTAAGTACATTCACTTTTCATCCGATGACAGTTTTGACTTCAAACTAAAAAGTTCAACAACAGTCTATCTACAAAACTTCGATATCGCCTAGTACTTGGGTTGTTAAGGTCTGATGGCAGTCGCTCCACGTAAAAAATCGAAGTTCAGTCGTGTCTGAAGTAGAATGAAAGCCGATCCCAACCGAATTTGGAAAAAGACTCCGAGAATGATGAGGTTTAACTTCAAACGCGTCTCCACTCCTTTATTTAACGTCTGTAAACAATTAAATCACATACCTAAATAATTATCATACCGACTTAAATAAATAGACAATATGAGTACCTACATACCTATTATATACTATACCTATTTTTACTTATTGTTTTGTGTAGCCCACTCAATATTTCCAATATGGTCGTATAAAAATCTAGTTGTGTGTTTTTGTGACTGACAATGAACGAAGGTCAGTGGACACTTGTACCGCAATTTAATTGTCAAAACTGACGTCACTTATGCTAATGCTTAGAATGAGCAGGGTTGAGGTACAGTCCTGCTTATCATCATTGTAATTTATCCAAGGGCGCTAGACGTTCCAAACCATGATTCATTTTCCCATCGTCATAATTGCAGTTAATTATTAAAATATTGTTAAATTACCGTTTTCCTTCTAAAGGTACACCCGCAGATAATGATTCAATTTAATAACATTCATGAGTAATTGTTTATTATGTAAATACTCATTGGCGTATCCAACTTTAAGTGCAGAAGGGTTTCTCCCGCGATTCCATTGCGGCTAGAGAGCCAGCAAACAAAAAAATATTAAAATTACTTATAAGTTCGTTTGAAAAACTTCGTCGATACGGAAACATACAAGATCGGTGGGGGTTGCTCTACTTTACCGACCCCCTAACCAACTGCGTTCCCCACAAATACATAAATAATTATTTTAAAAAGTTATATAAAGATTAGAAAACCACTAACTACAGACCCTACCGATATCGATCAACTTAAATACTGCACGGATGGCGTAGTGGTTTAAGCGGTCGCCACGCCGCTTCCTACTGCGCCGAGTGTTGTGGGCTCAAACCCCACATGGGACGACACTTTGTGTGGTCCACAAATTGTTGTTCTGAGTCTGGGTGTACTTTGTGTCCGTTTCATGTATATTTGTAAAGTCCCCCGCGACACAGGATTTATTCCTAATGCGGGAGTTGTCTTTAAAAAAAAAACTTAAATATTTTTAATAGGTTTTTCAGCTGTCTTTAAACAGGAAATTTACAGTAAGAATACAAATTAATGTTTCAGACGACGGCGAGCATGATACGGAGCACGATTCGGGTGACGAGCACCACACGTTTAAGGCGTCAAACGATGGCATCGGAACTGACGGTAATTTGCCGTGGGAGCATGACGAGCCTGACTACCCTTACGGTGATTCGAATAAGACACCTACACTCACCACAATCATACATTAATTCATGATATGCCTTCATTTAATCAATAAAAAAATTGAGCTTTCACGGGTGTTTCGCAATTTTGTAGAATAATGATTATAAAAGGATAGCTTATGAAAAGAAATAATGAATTTAGAACAGATAAAACATGTTTCATATTCATCACATCAGAACATAAAACAGTTTTTTTAAGTACTTCCGTTAACCTAAAGTGGGAGACTAAGCCAAATTGCTTGTTAGGAGTGGGTTCACGTCGGTAGTGTACTGGTCAGGATTTGAACCCACGGCCTCTTGATATCAAGTCCCATGCCCTAACCACTAGGCTACCGCCGCTGGTTTAGAGCTTCAATGTGATCAATAATTTAATTAATCACACTCGAAGTTCGACTACTCGAATAAACACTTCAAGTTTTTATATAGAATTAGTGTAGAAAGATAATATTTTTAAACAATAGTGGGACAATTGAGGGACTCTAAGGGCAGCAACGTACCTGTGACTTTTGAGCTGCAGGTGTCCATGGGCGGCGGACGTGACCCGTCTGCTCGTTTGCCCCCTTATATCATAAAAAAAAGTAAAAATGTCCACATAAAACTTTAGCGGTCCAACATCAAGTATCCAGTATTGATTCTACGGATCGCTAAAATAAAACAAGACACCAAGCGAATTCCATACGAACAGGTTATTTTATGACCAAACTATTCGATAATACAAAATGCTGTAATTTGGACGACATAATACACATTGCATGAACAAGTTGGCAATTTGCGTTGCATGTTTCTTTTTAATATATTCTAGGGTTAGTTTTAGGTTTTATTCTTTACACTAGAACGACGACACACTAATTATTATCACGAATGCCGGGTGACACTTTAAGTAAAGAATGAAATCCTCACCTTTTAATCATAATAATATACGGATTAAGAATACAGAGTGTCACCACCCCTATTCATTCCGAGGGTGTCGTAAGAGCCGACTAAGGGCGAAAACTACGCAGAACCACAGCACTGCAGAGAGAAGGAAAACTTGATACAAACCCTATACCAACCCGTCTGGCCAGCGTGGTATAGTAGGCCAAAACCTCCTTTCTAAGGAGAGGCTTATGTCCAGCAGTGGACTATTAAAGGCTATTGATGAGGTACTTAAACAGCAAAATGATAAAACCATCCTATGTTCTTTTCCTCCTTTCTAAGGAGAGGTCTATGTCCAGCAGTGGACTATTAAAGGCTGTTGATGATGCCCTTTTTCGGGACTCAAACTATCTCTACACGGTTCAGCGGTTTAAGCGTGAAGAGGTAACAGACAGACAGACACACTTTCGCCTTTATAATATTAGTATAGAAATAATTTCTAACCTAGGTATACGTTTTCTGCAAAACTTTTTGGTGTAGAAAATTTTTGTTGCGGCTTAAGTTACAAATTAAATAAAGACTTAAGATAATAAAGTTTTTTTTAGCTATTTTATGAATAATTTACCGACCATATTTATATTACATATATTTATTTATTTATTTAATTAATGTAGTAACTTGGCCATTGGTTTTATAACTACCAAGTAATTTTAAAAGGCCTTAAGTTACATCGATGGATCTCGTACTCTCTAAAAGGTCAACTAAAGACCCTTGCAAGTGTCCGTAAGCGACGGTCATCACTTACCTTCATTTTTGCTGCCCCCTCCCCCCCCCTTCCTTATATCAATCATGGATAGAATGTTTGCAATGCAATCAGAAGGCCAGTTTATTTGACGGGCCTGTTGGTCTAGTGATTAGTGACCTTGACTGCTAAGCCGGAGGTCATGGGTTCGATTCCCATCCAGGACAAATACTGTGTGATGAGCACGGTAATTTGTTCTGTATCTGGGTGTAGGTAATTAGTTAATTTAAAAATTTGATGCTATTATGATAATAAAATCAGAGTCCCCTTTAAAAATATAAAAGTATATTTAGCAGCAGTCAGGTACAGGCTCTGCCTAATTTGGGATCAGACGACCCGTGTGTGAGATGTGTGCGGTATATTATTAAAAAAAAAGGATTGGTCACCATTCAGTTCCAATCAACTCGATCTCGCAACTGTCATTAACGGTATTTTCCTAGTAAAAAAGTAAATACTAGAAGACCATCAATTTTCGGTTACAATACGATAAAATCACATTACAGTCAAAGTTGGATGTTTAATATTTTACTACTGAAATACCTTTTAAGACAATGCGAGACTGAGAGTTGATCGAAACAGAACTGTGACCAAACTTCAAACTTGAGAATTGGCCTTCAGATCGTTTCGGATAATATGACTAATACGAATACAATTAGCTCAACACTGGCATTCTAAATTAGATTCAGCAGTTAATTAAATAGTTCTAGATAACATAAACAACTTAGATAGATGTGCCATTAACATTCGTGATGATTTTCAGATACAAATGGCCTTGGCACACGGTTTGGCGTCGATGATCGTGCAATTTCGCCAGTCCCGGGGGTGAGTTCTTCATTTTAATCATTCATGGTAATAATAAGAATATTGCGAGAAATTAATGCAGCCGTTTTATTTTACGTGTGGAAACCCCCTCGGGCCGTCACCCCACCGGGGTTTACGGCGGGGTGGTGTGTCGGAATAGGACCTACTAAAACCACACGGCGTGCCACCCTGCGCCTGTAATAGGAGGGATCCGGGAACTGCTGTTATTAAGACATCCGGACCCCTTCTAGCGCCTGCCCGCAACAGCGCGGGCACCACCTTCGGGTACATTCTCTATTTAGGAGACGTCCGGCACACGCGGACGTCACCTCCTCGCGGCTGGCCGTTATGACGGGTGGAGGGGAAAACCCGTCCGGTCCACCCGCGGCCACACTCAGGGCGGCATGAGGTGCTGGTGAGCGCGCCTCCGCCGCCCGGTTCGTCGGAGGCGAATTGGGTCCGAGTGGAGATTATCCTCCCGGACCCTCTCCGCCGCTTCCTTCTGCGAGATAACGTCTTCGCAAAAGGATGCGACTGCGATAAAACAACTATCACTACCGGCCATGGAGCGTACAACGGCCGGTAGTGAGAGATCTCCCCCGATGACTGCAGTGAGGACCCGACGCTGTGACGCCCAAGAAGGGCAAATTGCCAGCGTGTGCTGAGCCGAGTCCTCACTGCAATCGCAGCGGTGACAGGCAGGACTCAGTAACCTCCTAGCGACGTACTTCCCGAAGCAGCCGTGTCCGGAAAAGATCTGCGTCAGTCGGAAGGAAAGGGTCCCGTGCTGCCGCCCTGCCCATTCGACGATGACAGGTTGGAGCGCCTCCACGCCGGTAATACCAGCACGTGGAGCCTCCAGCCGTGACAAACAACGAGCCATCGTGCCTCGACGAGCGTACTCCTTCGGGCGGGGGCCGACTGCCGCTAACCGCCCGGAACTCAGTCGTCCGCCTCCAAATCCCACGGGGGAGTTCCGGCCAACGCGCACGATGCCACCGTCGACACGGTGCGGTTACCACGTATGGCTCTGATCGCCAATACCCTCTGAGGACGCCAAAGGCGTGCTCTATTTTGGGCGGTCAGAGCCGCTGCCCACACCGGTGCGCCGTACAGTGCCTGAAGGGCAGACTATTGAATGCGTTGGCGATGTCCAATGACACCGCCAAGAGCACGCCGCCACAGCTCACCGCCTCGTCACGGCTCTCAAGCGCAGCACAGCGCGGACCGTCGAACGCCCCGCTCGAAAACCGAATTGGGCGTCCGAGAAATTAATGCAGCCCTGTCTGAACTTGTAACCAAAGTGTTATTCATACGAGTAGAATAGAACTCCAACCTGCCGTGGTAGTTGAAGTCGCTCTAGATCGACAGATTGAAGTGCTGCTACACAGCAGATTTTTTTTGTCTGAAATTGGAGTATTGTTTGGAATCAATTCCACTTTTCATAATAGCCACTATATAAAAATATGCAATCCTGATGTTATCATCACCATTAGAATGTACTTTTGACGTGTAACATCTTTCTCCTCCTTTTCCTGCATTATATTTGACTGATTTAGTGGAAAGGGACGGAAGTGCGTTACATTGCCATCGTCTCTCAGGTTTCCTGGGGAACTCATTGGTCAAATCAATTATAATTAAAAAAATGAGCGAGCACGATTCTAAAATTGCCATCTAATGGTAGAAGAGATGCCAGGAACGCAGTAATTCCGCCGATGTCACGTGTTTTATATCTTCTAGTTAACAAAAAGATAAATGTCAATATCAAGTATTTAATTGTACTGTCAAAAGTGACAGTCATCATAACGGTATCGCTGGATATTGTTGTTAAAAATACAAGGCGAAATATGTATACAATTTTAATCATTTGTCTTTAGGAATCTCTATCAAATAGGTTATATATTGGTTTTAAAATATTTTTTGACAGTCTACTTAAACGATTGACACGAATGAAAAAAAAACATTTTTTATAAATATAATTCTACCTCTTTAACGTACTTTATCATATTGCTTCTGCGTCCAGGTGATTCCAGACGTGAACACGTATCAACAGAAAAAAAACTTAGCTCAGGGTATGATGGACCTGGCGCTGCTGTCAGCTAACGCGAACCAGCTCCGCTACGTGCTGGAGTCCTCCACTTCGCATCCCTATTACTACTCCAGCGTCACCTTTATATCACTCAGCGTCATTATCCAAGTAAGTCATTGTCAAAATACTCAACTCGGTGAGACGGTCGAAAACTTCAGACAACTCCACATTTCGACTTATAAAACTTACATTTTCTTAATCCTAATCTTCGGAATTATTTTCAACAGATTCTTGTTGGAGTTGGTCTCATCATGAACAGTCGCTATGACGTCAATGTACACAAGGAAATTTGCAAAGCAGACAAGATTAACAACATGACAGTACTGGGCATCTTCCTCATCACCATCGTCAACGTGTTCATCACCTCGTTCAGTGTTGCCACCCCCACGGTCAGTGTTATGCCAGCAGTGGCCCAAAGTGTCCCATTAATAGCCAACAGCAGTACTTAATATTTATTAGTAATACATCGAAACAAAAATAAATAAAACAAAAAGTGAAATGTTCTTCAAAACCTAAAAAAGAGGACTATTCGCAAGACTCAACAAGAAAAAAGAAGTTGAAACTTGCTCGAATGAAGTCAGCATAAGCAAAGAGAAAATAATTAATATTTAATAGGATTTTGATTCCCGCAATAACTCGTTAAAAATATTCGTACGATAATGGCTTTCTTTATTTTACCTGTACCTACTATTATGAATAGAATTACATTAATCTATCTAGTACCTATTTTTATATAGGTAACCGTTTTTACATAAATCAATTCTGCTTTAGGTAGAAACGGTTATCTAAGTAAGATAAACTTTGTTCATTATCAAAGCCCCCAAAGCATTTTGTGATGAAAGCAATTAGTTTTAAGTCAATTAAAACTCATTTCTTCATAATTGACCTTGGTTTTAAGAATTACTTAATACATTTACAGAAATACTTGGATTTAGAAGGCCTTACTTGTTGCTAATATAAAAACAAAATTAAAAATCAATAGTTTCTTTTTGTACTTTAATTAATGCTAGTAGACGTACCTTTTTGTACCCTAATTAAATATTATGAAAGGCATTTTTTAATGTTTAAATCATTTCTTTCTTGGAAGATAAGACTGATTTCGAGATTTTTAAGATCTGACTCATTTTCCATTTATTCATAGAGTGGCAGAATAGTTTCTCTCTCTGTGTCGATTGTTTGTGACGAGTGATTGTCGACTGATAAATATGTGTGGTTGTGTCGAGTAATATCTATGTACCTATATGTGTGGGTTATATACGAATTTATGAACGTTCACTGTTTAACAAGTGAATGTGGGATGTTTAGATAAGTTGTATATTTTAGATTTACTTATCTTGTAATCATTATTTGTACATTTCATGTAAATAAATTTAAGTGTGTGAAAATGAGTTTTATTTGTAACGCTATTGTTCGATACATGGTTATTCTGAATTAAATAGACGAGTTGCCAGATTGGATTCGACTTTGCATGTCAAGAGAAAAATACGTCTCTAGTTATTGCAATCCAAAGAACAATGGCGAGTCTCCATACAAAAAAAATATTTGGAATCAAATTGCACCGTCTTGTAGTGAAAAAAATATTTAAAAAATCGGCTATTTTTTTAGAATCTACGTAAAAAACAATTTTTGTTTGGAAAAGGGTAGAAAAAAAGATATTAGCATTAGATTTTTTCAGTTACGCACTGCATCTGTGGACTGTCTTTAAAAGAGTTCATAGATAAAGTCTTTTATAACATAGCTACTTAATGTTTAATTTATTTTATTAATTTGTCTATGGCTATCGACTTTACATTACTATTTGATATTTTAACTGTATATGTGCCATTTAAATAAAAAAAAGATAATAAAAAAATATTATAGTCCACTAGCTGTAGGACTTTCGTAGGTTATATTTTTATGTCACTTTTAATGTGTCTGATGCATGAAATAATCGTCTTAAACATAAGTATACTTAGTTAAGAATAGGAGTATAATTGATTATAATGACTTAATATTACTTAATATTAATTACATAAGTATATTTGGATATATAATATCCAATAAGTATATTCCTTTTCCTTAATTTATTACCTATTTCAACATGCAATGAATTGTAAACCTAAACTAACATAATCGGCGGCGGCCATTCGTGTCAGACGTTTAGTTTTTATTTTTAAACACAGAGCGCAAACATCTGTACAGAGTTGTCAAAAAACCATTGCTTTTTTTTCAGCTTGCAGTTGCCACTTTATTTTTTTTTACTTCCTTATATTCCACTACAGGATTTTCAAATTCGTAAACAATGCACCACAAACTATATTATTTATTGATTCAGTACTTAGAATTATAAAACTATTATCTGATTACCTTTAAGATTACTATTAAGTGATTACCATATTATGATACTTTTTTGGACAGTATTTCCACTACATGAAAAATATGGCTATAAAATGGTAACACTAAACTGATAAAGGCAATTAAAATAATCAAATAAGCTTATAACATTTTCCTTTCTTTTCCTGGGGTATTACTGACTTAGGTGATGGTTTCAAAAAACGTAGATATTTACTAGAATTAGTTTAATGTGAATGACATTTTAAGACGCTCAAATTATACTCAGCTACGAATTCACTATTGTTCTTTAATGTATATTTCGTGTATAAATTGGTTTAATCCGTAACGTATTAGAGTTTTTTTTTTTAGTTTGTAACTCTGATATTAGAGCGAGATACTAGTTTTTTTAACAAACAACTGTGTCGCGGGGAACTTTACAAACATAAATGAAACGGACTCAAAGAATACCCAGACTCAATTACAATTTAGATCACACAAAAGTATCGTCCCATGTTTCGAAGAACTGACTGTGTGTTGACTGCACGGATGGTGTATTGGTTTAAGCGGTCGCCACGCCCCGCTTCCTACTCTGCTGAGATTGATTTGATTGCCAAACCCTCAACACTCAGCATAGTAGGTCACACAGTCAGATTTTCAGAACATCTCGCTATCCCAGTTTTGAGTAGGTAAAGAATTTTTTATAATTTTTATATATCTAAATAATGTACCTAAACTTCAGGTTCATTTCGGGATCTGATTTTAAGACCTGCCGTAGAATAGGGTTAATTGGTAAAAAAATCAATATTAAGCTGTAAATCAAAATTCAGTACATATTGTCCATACTAATTCAAACTAAAATTATAAATGCGAAAGTGTATCTGTCTGTAACCTCTTTGCGTTTTAACCGCTGAACCGATTTAAATGAAATTTGATGCGGAGATAGTTTTCATCCCAGAAAACATCCTTTGAGGGGGTGAAAAGGGGCTGGAAGTTTGTATGGTGAATCAATAACCGCTGATGATATTTTGATTCTTGAGGAAAGAGATTTGTAAATATTTTATCAACGTTATTTACATATTCCATTTAAACGTTGGCATACTAAATTTAAAAAAAACCCATAGGACTTTTATTTTAAAGTAGTGTGTATCAAATAACCTTTAAAGTGGGGCTCATTGAAATGCTACATTTTTAGCTTTAAAAAGCCCCCTTGTTTAGTTGTCGAGATATATTAAAAACCACACAGCTTATAGATTCGTAATCGGAAACAGTAAATTCTGTGATATTATAATATTGTTTTAAAATTTACTGTAATCAAAATGCACCTACTTCCTGTTTTCTCTGCATCACCCAAAGGTTGACTGGTAGAGAATGCCTTAGGCATTAAGTCCGCCAATGTACCAATGTGCATGATGTATCCATTAAAAAATAGATAAATAAATAATTGTAAAGGAGAATGATCGTTAGTAGTACAGGTTTTTCTCAAGCACTAGATAAAAATAATATAAAAAATATTTTTTTGAAGTCACTGCCATTAGAAATATAGTTTTGAACTCGGGTTTTCTTTTAAAACTAATAAGATATGAAATTGTTTTTATATTAGTTATAGAAATATATTTTGCCTGACAAAACTGTTCAAAGTATTGCCATAACCAAAATAAGAAAATATTTTGGCGCCTATTTTTTTTTAAATCTCTTACAAATCGATAGATATAATGAGGGTTTTCTGAAATGTTCCACGTGAGATGGCAGCACTGTAGCGTCAGGTCCAACCACCTGTCAAAACACATACACGATTTGTATTTTTCAATCATTTTTTTGGTTTATTCATTCTTAAAAACGTTACAAAAGGAATACTGATTTCTAAAATTCTACAGTGTTGTGCAGTGCCTATGTGTGCAAATAAAACTTTTGCGCCTCTCTTTTTGAGCTCAATCTTCAGTTCGGCAACCTTTCTCTGTCCGTAATCTATAATAAACTCAATAACACTTCGAAATTCATGGCATTTCACTAAAATATTATACGTTCGGTAAGAATCTGTGCTATCTGACAGCTGTTTGGACCTGACGCATACGAAGCGCCGTCTGGTGGCAGAAAAAGTATCGAAGACCCTCATTAAAAAGTAGCTGTTTCGCTTTCCTTTGTTCTTTAGATTACTTAATAGGGCCTTATTATTGCACGCTACAGTTGTCATCTGGTTTGTTTTACTTTTTAAAGTGATTTGATTTTGTTGCATCTACTTAATAATGATTTTAGACTTTTTTTTACTTTACTTTGGTTTGATTAAGATCCAAAACTTGCCTTTTTAAAAAATCCTTAATGTTAATTTAAATTATTGTGTACCTATTTGTTAAAATAATCGATTGTTGGAAAAAAATCCTAGGTGGCTACATTGCCTATGGTTAGTCCTCTGCAGCCGGCTCCGGCATCGTTTAAAAAGCTACGACGGAAACGCTTGCAGTAAAAATGTGCTCGCAATGCGGACCATCAACAGCCACAACCACTCGGGAAAGTGTCCAAGAATTAATCATTTCTGTTTCCCGTCAGCCTCCAAACCTCCTTTCTAAGGAGAGGCCTATGTTCAGCAGTGGACTATTAAAGGCTGTTGATGTGATTGATGATGCGACCTGTCAGCCGCCGTGGTGACTCTCGCTCAGGGTCGTTGTTGGTGTAAAGGTTGTGTGCGTTACCCCAGCAAAATAATGTCGAAAATGGTCATTAAAACGTTATAGATAATTAGTTGTAATTGTTAGGCACATTTTTAAATTTGTTTCACTTAATTTTTTTTAGTTATTTCAAAAAAACATTTCCTGCTGGGGTAACGTTTGAAACGTTACCGCAGCCAGACCTTTTCTTTTTTAATTGGAATATGGAAATAAATTTTAGCTAAATAATTAGTTATCTGGACTAGGTAAATGTTACAACTTATTTGGTATTTGTATTTTCTTCGGCTGCGAAGTTATTCGAGAACCTGCTGGAGTAAAGTTATGATGAAATGTAGCTCTCTACGTTCACGACCACAATGTGTGCGGCCTTTTTTGGCCACCGATAAACCTGTGTGTGGATATATAAACTGAATGTTATGCCAATAATTAGTTGTTTAGTTCAGTTGTCTACCTGTAAAATTTCAGCGTCGTACATATAATTATTAACGAGATAATTAAATAAAAGTCATTAGAAGATGCAAGACCGTGGTAACCCGACCATGTTTAGGTGGTTACAAAAAAGCGATCACCCAGTACATTGCGCTGTTTTTTAAAATGTTTAGTGTAATACACCTTACGATTTCGGTACAGTTGCGTACAGTGTTAAATACATTCAATATTTATTCATTACCTATTATTTATTTTGTTTTTTTATTCCTAATGGATCTTAAGCACTAGATTCTTTACTTAAAATTTCTTTAGTGTTTTTAACTAACGGAGCTACAATCAACAGAAAATCTGCACTGGCCCGCTAAAATTTTAAATATGTAGATACAATACTGCAATAAATCGAAAATTTAAACAAATAAGAAATCGTTTTATTTCTTTGATTTTTTTGTAAAGAAATAACACTGAAGTAATTGTATTTTATTTTGAGGTGTATAGAGCTTAGACTTGGATGCATCAAAATATTTAAATCAACAAGTCATCTACAATAAGTTAAAATAGACCATAATAGTAGAAGAATACAGTTGTAAATTAGAATGCATCAACATTGCATCGCCCAACAGTCGTATACCTCGTAAGAGTAATATTGTTCTGTGCTCTATACCGAGAACCGAGAATTATCTATACCTATGTACCTACCGCTAAGCGTTGAGCCCGTGACTATAGATTTCTGTTAAAGTGATACATTTTTATAGATAAACTTATTGGTCAGATAATATTTGTCGTTCAAGAATCGCCAATAATACATCCTTAGCTAGAACGCGGGAGGGGAAGGACGAAGGGGTACTTCATTGTTTGCCATTTGCATCTAGTGCACTAAACTTCACCCTTAGGCAGATAATATACGCCTTGTAAAGTGCGTGTGCGCTTCCGCTTTCTATTTTTGCAAATATTTATCGTATTCTTGAGTTCTTCAATATGTGTGTACCTATATACTAGTAATGGGCATTAATGCTAATTAGATTCAATTTAAGTAATTGCGAATTCTTGTCTTAGAATGTTAATCACTAATGCTAATATTGAAATTTCGTTCGAGGTGAACAAATTAAAAACGATCATAACTTGTAGGTAGGTATATCACTTATTACTAATTTTACGTAAATAATTTATTTTATTATAATTTAACTCACCGCGATTTTGTGATCAAACATTGTCTACTATTTTATTTTCTCCAACATTATTACAGAAATAATGCAATACAGAGTTTGTTCACGATATACTAGCCTTAGTGGATTCATCACTTAAAAAAAATCTCAATCTATTCACAAAATACCTATTTACAACGCATACGTTACACTCTTCAAAACTTAAATTACCTAAAATTAAACTTTAATTAAAAAAATACTACACAGGTACCAATTCTATGAACAACTATAAACAATTCAACAAAACATTACGAGAAAACAAAAGCATTCAAAACAATACCTAATCTCCCGGCTAATTACAAATTATGCAATAAACAATCCTAAATAAAAGTTATTTAAAAACATGTAGTTTTTGTAACACTTATGTACATATCCGTAGTAAACTTGCAAATAATATCCTACATATTTTAAAAGCCAGCACAATGTACTGGGTGATCGCTTTTTTGTAACCACCTAAACATGGTCGGGTTACAACGGTCTTGCATCTTCTAATGACTTTTATTTAATTATCTCTTTAATTATTATAGGCTCAGGCTCAGGCATAGGGTCAGGCTGCGGTAACGTTTCAAACTTTACCCCAGCAGGAAATGTTTTTTTGAAATAACTAAAAAAAAATAAGTGAAACAAATTTAAAAATGTGCCTAACAATTACAGAAGGGGGGCAACTAATTATCTATAACGTTTAAATGACCATTTTCGACATTATTTTGCTGGGGTAACGCACACAACCTTTACACCAACAACGACCCTGAGCGAGAGTCACCACGGCGGCTGACAGGTCGCATCATCAATCACATCAACAGCCTTTAATAGTCCACTGCTGAACATAGGCCTCTCCTTAGAAAGGAGGTTTGGAGGCTGACGGGAAACAGAAATGATTAATTCTTGGACACTTTCCAATTGCCATTCAGCGTGGGATCGCAGCTAGCGTTATGGACAGCTTGGCACCGGCAGCGACCAGAGGTGGGTTATTTAACATATGATTTTGTAATTTCTTTATTTTTTTTTTTTATTTTTTTTTTGTATTTTTTCTTTTTATGTGATTTCCTTATTTTTGAAATTTAACGATATATTTATTGAACGTGATGTAAAAAAATATATTAAAAAGAATATATAATTAGGTGTCATTAATTAAAATGTTACTGCGTGAATATAGCATGTTTTATTTTGTCGGGTTAGCGTACAGCGGTAAAAATTCAAACCGCTGTCCCACTTTTAACGCAACGCACTGTTTACAGGTATGTATTGCGAAAGCGCCCTTACTGTTTGTGATTTGTCGTCATGGAAATAGTTTTATATCCGGAAATGATCAATACAACTGAGTATTCTAGGGTACGATAAAAATAAAACAATTACATCAGAATCCAAAATGTATTGAATACAAAACAATCTAATAAAATTGTCAGGTGGCAATTTCAAAATATTCTATTTTAATAATAGTTAATAGTAAGAGTTTACATGGTTGTGTCGCAGCTGCCGCGGCGAGCTGGTCCCCACCGGCACACGTGTGCTCGAGCCGCGGGGCCACTTCTCTAACCTAAGGCCTGGCGGCGCACGTACACACCGCCTTTAGAGCATTGTAATACTAAAATCAACTACTTCTTACGATTCATATTCGTCAGGTTCAGCGAGAGCGCGGGCCTGGAGCTGGTCATTTGTAGAGTTGGTGTTTGTGACTACCTTCACGTGGCACTACCGCGAGAGATCATAACTTCGTTCAGCTCTTTCGTTACCCTAGATCGTTCCCTCCCGTCACACTACTCACCCTAAGTGTCTCCCCTCGAAACGAGTAGCGCGCGATTTTACATCTTTATACGTACATAAAACTGCATCCCAAAATATATATAGGAAAAAATTGATTAAAACAATATTAAAAAATCTATATTTTATAGGAACATATAGCATTGGAAATAAGAAAAAATATCTTCCTATAAACAGTCACCCTAATTTAAGCAATATTATAGTGCATATAGAAACAGTGCTTATTTATTTTTTGCTGTAAACGTACTCCGCGATTTATATAATTCAATATGTTCCCCACAATGTTCAGACACCTCGCTTAGAATTTCACAGGCGACACAAACGCAGTGACATGTTTTAGATGTCTAAGCAAATATCTAGCACGTTTACAGCTAAGAAAAATAAACGTTTCTTCAGTTATTTGGAAATAATTTGGATTACATCTAGTGGAGTAAAACAACGTTCAGGTATTGGCGACATTCGGCTCAATCTATACCTAGTCTAATTACTTTGGAAGGGTACTTCTATATATGAAATATATGCAAAAAGGGGTTCGGCTTCCGTCTCGACCACCCGCGACAAACATTACGGAATCAATTTATTTTAAAAACCCCATTCCAGAATAGTACCAGACAGTTTTTGCCGCTGTTAAGTCAAATTTTACTAAACTCATTACTACCTCATAGGCTATAGCCGGTATTAATATCAATAAATGCAAGATCTTGGTTTTAAATATGAAAATAAAAATTGGTTTACCTTTGAGGTTTAATTTTTTCTTATGAATGCGTCGAGTTAAAATTTAATTTCCAATAGTTCATTTAAAATAGATTTGATTGATATTATTTCACGGAATGGGGTTATTTACCATCGTTCGAATGGTTTTTAACCGAGTAGTAATTCCCGCACTATTTGACGAAGCGAGACACCTCAGTATAGGTTATTCGATGATGGATAAATAATGAAAATTGATCAAAGAAAGCTTCGTGTTGTCGCGGATCGCAAGCCGGGATGGGTGTGCAAAGAGTGTTTTAAATGGCGTCAATATCGACGTCGACATCGTCGTCGTCCTGCGGTTTGGGCTTGCTGGCGGGAGCAGTCGCCGCTACGGCCTTGATGGGCGTCACCTTTGCACGATCTGAGTACTCGATCTGTGGATGGGTACGATTTATAATATAATAATTTCACACATCTCGCACACGGCTGTCTGATCCCAAACTAGGCAGAGCCTGTACTATGGTAATCAGACTGCTGATAAACATACTTATATATTTCTAAATACATACATAATATTGATAAATTAAACCCAGACACAGAACAAATGATTGTGCTCATCACATAATTATTTGTCCTGGGTGGGAATCGAACCCACGACCTCCGGCTTAGCAGTCAGGGTTACTAACCACTAAACCAACAGGCCCGTCATTTATGTTACATTAACAAAAATATATTTTAAGATCCGGGTAGGGTCGATTTATTCATCTCATTAATCAAAGTTATTGGTTTAAAAACTGAATTTTTGGTCCAAGAAAGCAATTCATTCGAGCCTTAGGACGCTGCTTGTGATATATATATATTTCCTATTGATATTTATAATTTGATAATATTGAATCTTTTTGATCGTATTTAGATATACTGAGCTAAAATTGAACATAGCGTATATAAACACGTGAAAAAAATACTATTATCGAATAAAATTTAGATTTTATTCAATAGTAGTATTTCTAAGTTTCTTTTTTTATTTTCTTCGTCTATACTATCGAGGCTTCGGTAAGAATTACGATATCGGTACAACGAATCGATTTACAAATTTGTCGATCGTTAGACTTTAAAAAGGCGAGTACCTCGATGTCCTCCTCGTTGTCTGCGCCGCCGTCGCTGGAGTCCTCCTCGGCGTGCTGCAGCCACTCGAGGAAGGGCGTGGCGCGGCGCCGCACGTCGGCCACCAGCTCCTTGCTGGCGTACTTGCGCGAGGGCTTGGCGGCCCACTCCAGGATGGCCTTCTCCTCCACGATGTCGGCGTCGTACAGCAGCTTGAGGATGGCGGGCACCTTGGGCAGCAGCGCGGCGTGGTGCGCGCACAGCGCCGTGAGCGCGTGCAGCGCCGAGCGTTGCGCGCGCGGGTCGGCGCGCGTGCAGCGCACTAGCAGCGCGCGGTGCCGCCGCACGTCGCCCGCCAGCGCCGAGGGACGCACCAGCACCTCCACCAGCACCAGCGGCGCCTTCGACTTCACGTCCAGCCTGCGAACCCGCTCCACGTATACACCAGACTCCACTACGTTTTCAATTTAAATACCCCGAGCGAAGAGCCTAGTGTGAACTTATTTCACTCGAGTCGCTCTCGACGGCGACCGCGTTCGACTGCGATCCGTGAAGAGTTCGGTGCAGACCGTCGCACGCCGTATCACCGGTAGTCGATATGAAATAAACTCACACTAGGCCCCCTGTATTATGAACTCGACACCTTAAACTTAAAAAACAGCAGCAGAAGACGAAAAAATTAATATTAAACAATTACATAACTATACTTCTGCATTTACTTAACCTGCGACCCACTAATAGGTAATTCTACATTGAAAATTGTACGTAGACTCACATAACAACATTATTACATCTAAACCGTCCCATTACCTTTCAATCTCGTGCAGAATTTCGTTGATCGCTTTGGGCGATTCGACATCATTGGCATCGTAACGTCGCTTAAGGTAGTCGTAGAACAAGTCCATGCGCTGCTTTTCATTTTTCTCGCTGTCCTCTGACACCGTCATGCATTTCGCACCCTCCGTTAGATCTGCATACATTATAAAAGTCAGCAAATGTATTCCGAATTCAGTACTTAGTTGTGCAGAATGAGTTTAAAGGATATTTATAGTGGATGAAACTTATTCATCTATAAAATACTTTGATGGTTAAAACAAGCAAGATATAAAAATCTTGAGTAAAATGGAAAATAAACACACCTTGCATCCTAGCTCTGACAGCTGCCTCGCTGACATCGACAGTCCAGTGGCCATCATCATCCTCATCAGCTGCCTTATCTTTTTCCTTCTTACTGCTCTTAGGGTTTGGTGTCGTGGGGGTGATGGGCGCATCACTCTCCTGTATTGGGACAACACTTATGTAAATGACCATCTATTTCATGTCAGAAGCAATTTTTTTTTTAAATTGCATTCTAACTGTAGCAAGTAACTTTGTAATGATAAGGTATGCGTACATTCTTGGCCTCAGCATCATGTCCGTCGTGGTTTCCGTTAGCGCCCCCGGAGCCCGGGCCTGAACGCTTGGAGCGCTTGCCGCGGTTACCTTCCGTTAGTGAAGAGCCCTGGAAAGTTCAATTTAAAAATAAGTTTTAAGCAATGCTTCGATAAAAACAAAAAGTAGTGAGGAAGTGTATAGATGTTTGGAACACAAGTGTTAATGTACCGTACCTGCATGCTAGGGTCGTTAGCAGGAGGATTCTTGAGTATAAAAGTGTTGAGCTTGTGGTTGAAGTCGAGCTGGCCGTGGTAGCCGCAAGCTTTGCAACCCTGCGAGATGGTGTTGCGTTTCGTCGACACGATCAGCTCTGTCTCAGGGTTGTCGCACTCCGGGCACAGCACGAACTTGCGAATGAATCTACGGAACGTTCACATGGTAATAAGTTACCTAACGTAACGTAACGTAACGTGAAATCACGTAACACAAAAATTCGGTCGTGGGTTTAACATTTTAGGAATACCACTACAGTTACTGTAAGTTGTTTTCGTTCGGTGAAGGGTAGAAGTATTTTCCTAACCAAGAAAATCCTATTTCCCATTCGCCTTTTTATGACATGTTCATGTGATGTCCTATAATATTAACAATTTTAGTTTAATAACTACCCGTCCAGCAAGTCCTGTAGTTTAGCTGAGTCATGGCTGCCGTTAACGATGAACCGCTCGTTCTTGAAGTCGAATTGAGTTTGAGCGCCCAGCTCGCATCCAAAGTACTTTGTTGGATCTGAAATTTATTATGTTTTCTATAGCAACTAAACAAGCATTAATCTGTAATGTAACAGTTTAAAATCGAACATTACACCATTATCATTGGAATATCCGAATACAACCGCCAACTTTGACTAGATATTTATATAAATTTCATCATTTAATGTTTATTGCTTTGGATAATCTAATATATAAAATTCTCGTGTCACGGTGTTAGAAGTTGAACTCCTCCGAAACGGCTAGACCGATTTTCGTGAAATTTTGTGTGCATATCGGGTAGGTCTGAGAATCGGCCAACATCTGTTTTTCATAAACCTAATATATATATTTCTTGTCAATTTTTGTGAAATAATGTATATGGCAAAACAACGTTTGCTAGTATTGTATAAATTCCAATTCTAACTTAACAGACAAATGTGTTGCTGGGGAGTAGTTTAGCTGAAGCACTAGGAAGTGGGGCCGGGGTTTTTGGGGAACTATGCTGTGGCAAAAAAGTGCTGGCACTGCCTAATTTGAATAAATGGCTTTTGATTTTGATTCAGCGATATTCACGTGTTACTTTGTACATGTTGCAATGTTGTTTTATAGCAGTGAATGTACACTACATTAAACAGTGAACGTTAGACTTACAGGTGGCGGGCCTGCCGAGCGCCTTGGCGACTTCAGGCATGTTCACAATGACGGTCTTGATGCCGTTGCCCTTGCCCTCCACCTTGGCGCATATCCTGGGCATCTTGTAGCGGTAGAAGGCATCCGCCACGTTCCGATTTACGTTCACCGACCCCATGGTGTCGGTTTTCTACCGTATGCTCGTACTGAGTATGTATCTCCCTCTATTCCTAGTCTTGTATCTGTAATTGCAAAATATTAATTACTTTAATAACTTGACACATCTCACGGCCGTCTGATCTTAAACTAGGCAGAGCCTGTACTATGGTGACCAGACTGCTGATGACCATACTATATTTATATATTTTTAAATACATACATATTATAGATAAATTACACCCAGACACAGAACAAATGACCGTGCTCATCTATACTAATATTATAAAGCTGAAGAGTTTGTTTGTTTGTTTGTTTGAACGCGCTAATCTCAGGAACTACTGGTCCGATTTGAAAAATTCTTTCAGTGTTAGATAGCCCATTTATCGAGGAAGGCTATAGGCTATATATCATCACGCTAAGACTAATAGGAGCGGAGCACCAATGAAGAATGTTTCAAAAACGGAGAACATTTATTACTATTGAGAGACGCAGACGAAGTTGCGCGAGTCAGCTAGTTAAACAATATTTGTTCTGGGTGGGAATCGAACCCACGACCTCCGGTTTAGCACTCAGGGTCACTAGCCACTAGACCAACAGGCCTGTCGTCATTAAATAAATATGTATTGAGGTATATCGTTATTACAGTTCTAACAGTGCGGTTATTTTATTATGACATAGGGGCCGAACAAGCAAACAAGTCATCTACCGCCGCACATGGAAGATCTTGGTATTACTCCTGTCGAGCCGCGAAGCATGGTTCTCCCACGTACCAAAATACTTTACAAGAACGCGATGTTCACAGTGTGACTTTCTCATCACATCATCAACAGCCTATAACAATCCACTGCTGGACATAGGCCTCCAGGTTTTGGCCTACCTATACAACGCTGGTCAGACCGGTAGGGTTTGTTTCTATTTTTCCTTCCCTTGTGTCACTTTCTACTCTCTCTTAATTATAAATCAACAAATGTCATACAAGGAAATATGTCGACGATATACCAAAGAGCGACACGGGCCTCCGGCGGTATTCATAAGTAGTAAGTAAGTAATTTTGACAGTATTTTTTAAACTAATCCTTCAACCATTTGTTATTCGTTACGTATATCTCTAAACTGAGTCAGTTCGAGATTAGCGAGGTCACACCGAGTTATATACATACAATAAATTTATGTAAAAATTAGAACACGTACCTTTACAAAGTAAGCGGTATCTTGATAGCGCGTAATGTGTGGTGTGTGAGGTTATGTGTGTGTATGTATGGGTGTGTATGTGTGGTGTGTGTAAGCTGTGCGCGTTGTTAGCGTGCGCGTGTGAGGTTCAGCGGGGCGGCATGCGGCCAGGCCGACGCTGCCGCGGCGCGCGCCAGTCACGTCTGCCGAAGTGGCAGCAGCTTCCGGTGCCTATTACTGCAAAATTTTGATGTTCTGCAAACAGAGCAGTAGTGATCCGCAGGTGACGAAGTCTAGTCTGATCACTTAACCTGTCTGTCTAGGTTTTAACAAGGAAATTACTGACGAGAATAGCGGTAACAGTAAACTGGACTAATAGCTAAGTGATCAGACTATAGATTTAGGAAACTAATGTCTTACGTTAGGGATTTATATAAATTAAAGTGTTTTACGTAGAAAAGACGATTATGCTCTGAAGCATATTCCAATTACTATTCCAAAACTAGAGTTTATTTCAGAATTAAGATATAACTCGTTTTCATCAGTCATCTGATTATATTAGCAGATTATATAAAAACTGAAAATTTAACATCTCCAGAAATACCTAACAAATGAATTAAAAATAAATAACAATAAAGAACTCCATCTTTCCTTTACTTTTACTTCCATAAACAATTTATAAGTTTTCTTCAATGGTTTCCCGGTATTGAGTTCATCAATAATACCAGAGAGTTATGTAGTACTTCTAAAGATTGTAATCTTAACTTACAGCCAATACCGAGATAAAATGTCTTTCTGGACATCTACATGGGCCTCGATTCTGCTATTTTATGTTAACGCCAAGCCACTGTCATTCCATTAACAAGCCATTGACATCGGTCAAAATATCAGTATTCTACTAACATCAATTCACAGCGACAATAGACTGTCGATATAGTAATATAGGTCATCAATGGTGATATCAACAACATTGCCATACCGCTAAAATTAAATATATCATTTTTTACAAATTTAAAAGTGACAAGTCATCGGGAGGCAATTGGTCTTACATAGTGAGTAGAATAGGAAAAGTGCAAAACTATTCCGACAACATTCCATCGACAGTCAATTGATACAATATTAAATTAGCAGAATTGCGGCCCTGGTTATAATAATTTGCCATCTTTTTGTACGTCTCTGAAAGCTATTCGTTCAAGAATTAATCACCGGAGAGAAGACACTTATTGTTGTCAAACAAAATATAACCCAATAACACCTGATTTTGCCCAGGTTTACCATTTTGTTCTACCAAGTGCAGAAAAATAGTCTGATCTCAGATCTGGCAACTGTTGATAATGAGTTACTTAAACATCTTTTTACGGAAACTCCTAATCTATTTAGACATGATTTTTTGCCGTTGTTATAGATAATGGTACGGAACCCTTCGAGCGGGAGTCCGACTAGCACTGGGCCGGTTTTTTTTTATCTATGTTTCGAGTCAGTTTTGTTACTGGAATTACAATTAATTTTACATGTCCCTCCGCTTTTCAAGCCGATTAATTAATTATCAAGCAAGTATGGGTGGAGGGGCTTCGAAGTTTCAACATTTGTCTACCAACACTAGTGTACTTGAGTCCCGTACCTGCGAGAAGTATATCTAGGTGTGTGAAGCGTCATGCACGCTCGACGGCTGCCGGCCGGTCTCGTTGTCGCGACACACCGACTACTCTCCTCGCACTGTACTGATGTCTCTGCAAACAAAATATACTTCAGTAACAGGTGCTATCAAACATATTGTTCCCTATTTATTAACGACCGCATACTCAACTCCATTCTCTAACTTTCCCTGTGATATATTAATAACATTTGAAATGAAATGATATTTATTTTTGCAAGTAAATCTTTTCAGATATTTTTACAATTCGGACTTTACAGCTAGAAGGCGCCGGCATTTCCTAAGACTCGCTCTGGGAAGAAACGCCGAAACAAACCACAGAGGTGTCTTCTATTCAGTTCGTGTACAATAAAACTAAGAGAAATAAGTGAGTGCAGTATAGGGTCTGGGTTGGGCTTTTGAAGAAAAGGCCTACAGTATTGAGTCGGCCCGTCCATTCAGACGGCATACGAGACCCAGCCATTGTATAGCCTAACCGATATATTCAGGATCAACAACACGGAACACGGCACTACCGCCTGCAGGCCAATTGAGAAACACTCAAAACCACCAGAAAGTAACTAAAATATGAGCTAACATTACAAGCCACTATACTATACTCACATTTACATACTAACACAAAAAAAAAAATACAATTCAGTTTCAAATAAACAAATTGAAAACCAACGAAATACGAATTACAAACAAAAAATTAAATGTTGATCACTTTTAAATGTGGGAGTAAGCAGCGTCAATCCCAAGCAAATTTGTCATCTAAATAATCTGTAACCGTGTAGTATTTTTTTTTGTAATAGGGGGCAAATGAGCAGACGGGTCACCTGATGGAAAGCGACTACCGCCGCCCATGAAATGAATTTGCAACTAATGGTTATCACATAAAATGTAGGCACAATAGTAGGTGTCAAGGTATTTGATAATTCTTCTGTAAGTTAAAGATTTCTATCCTGAAGTATTTATTTGGCTTCGAAATATTTTGCATAGTGTATACCGATGTATACTGTATGTGTGTGTGTGTATTTTCTTTAGGCTAGAAATGCTTTACATATGTATGCCGTATATTACATTTATGGATATAGAATAAATAGTAACACAGTATGTCTAGGAGTCTTCGTGACAAACAGCTGCTTACAAACTACTCGTAAACCTAAAAGCTACTACAAGCAAAAGTTTATTGATATATCCAATTTAAATTATTTAAATAACAAGTAGTAAAGTTATCATTTGACTGATGTGTTTCATAAAGGGTATTCGATTTTTTAAATCGAAAAGTAGTGTTAGCCTAAAAGAGAGCATAGAAAGACAAAATTTGGTAATGAAAAGAATGGTAGACTCATAGCACCGACCCAAATTTAAATTAAAAAGAAAGTTGATGAAGTCTCTCAGAGAAAACTAGATAGGCAGCTCGTGGAGTCTACGCTGAGAGACAGATGTCAAACACCTTAGAACATAAAGTAAGGTCACACGTGTCGTTAAAAGTAGATGTGGGCAGGAGGACACGGAGCCCGTAAACATGGCTCGATGGGCAAAACGGTCTTGGAATGAAGACCTTTAAGTGGAATCAATTGGCCTACACCAAAATAGTTGAAAACGACTGAGAATAGAATTACAGGCGCATCAGCACAAAAATAATGCGAAACTTAACGTGTTGGCTCGGTCAGACAAATGAAGCACTAACTCGTATATGACCGAACATATTATTTACATTTATGGGGACATACCGTCACACGTACACGTGTTGGACATTTACGTAAGACGCAAAAGAAAGCATCATGTTATTGCGGAATTGAGCAATAAAAAGCCTTTTTATGTTAGCGATGTAGCCAAGTGAATTTAGTAGCGAGGCTTAAAACCGTGGCAAACGTATGAAAATTAAATTACGTACGAAATGTATTAGATAAGGCAGATGACAATCAAATTTTGAAGACAGATGATAATACGTTTGTGGGCAGAAGTGGTCGGATGTTTCTTCCCCCACCTTTCTATGTTTGAGATTTATAGTACTGTAGAGTAAAGAAAAGATTTTAAGCCCTTAGTTAAGCTAGAGGCAAATAAATATTCAACATGCCAAAATATCAACAAACCCAGTAAGTAGGCAAACGTTGGCGTACTCAAACTTTACTAAGATGTTATAATATCAAGTGTTTTGCTGGCACGGTAAATTTGGCCATATAGTTAATTAGCCTGATAAAAGCGCAAAAGGTCCCTCGGGTTCCAAAAAGCACAAAAAAGAATGGTAACCATAAATATGGCTTTCATAATTAACAAAAAAGTTGACACGTACTGTCGTATAAAAGGGGAATGTTTGAATATCACTTGCATTTTTATGTTTTTGTAATATTAAATAATTTCATATGAGGCATATCTATACTAATATTATAAAGCTGAAGAGTTTGTTTGTTTGTTTGAACGCGCTAATCTCAGGAACTACTGGTCCGATTTGAAAAATTATTTCAGTGTTAGATAGCCCATTTATCGAGAAAGGCTATAGGCACCAATGAACCAATGCACCAATGAAGAATGTTGCAAAAACGGGGAGAATTAAATTCTTTTAAAAGACGCAGACGAAGTTGCGCGAGTCAGCTAGTCATTTATATATTCGTAGATAGATAACTCACCTCTTGGTTAGTAGGTAAAGGTGCTACCACACAAGTAATTGGAGCGGGGTTAGTAGTATGAACAAATTACTAGCTCGTAACTTGTACATGCTGCAATACGCGGGTTACATATATGGGTCTTGCTAGTTTCAGATTTGAAGAGTTCAGTACCAGGGTGTTTGTACGAACACGCGTAAATGTGTAAATGCCACGACGAATGAGAACTCTTATGGAACCATATGTTAAAATTGTTTTCTAGTAGATTGAATAAATTTAGCTCGCGACGCAAATCGTACGGTTCAAATACGCGGGTAGCTCACGCTGCTACATAGTCGAGTCGCTGGACCTGCTTAATCCTTTTCGCGAAGCATATAACCTGCGCAAGTGCCTCGACATGCACAAGCTATTTGCATCGTGTAAAGTGGTTTGTGCAGTCTAACACCGAATCGCTTGTAACTATCATCTAACTATACTACTAGTCTATCTGCTACAAATCTATCACATCACAGCCTTTGTAAAACAAACTTGCCATCTCTTAGTAAAACTAGCGAGATTATACGAATTCATAAAGAAACACCTAATGCCAGAGCATTAATAAAATGCGTAAGTAATAATTGATATTGTCGTTCGATCGTTGTTGTGTGAGCATCCTAAACTTTGCCCTGAGTACATATTCACAGTTATTGTTGTTACAGAGTCCAGCAAACCTATCCCGAGAACACCTAGATTTAAATATATGACCAGCACTAAACCAGTTGAATAAACATACTCACGCTGACATGAGCTATCTCCATTCCACACCGCGATTCGTGAAAGCAAATTGATCCTATTTTAACAGCACTTGTTACACGTCGCGAATTCAAAACAAAACGTACTCACTAACATAGAATAACCACTTATTCGTGTCCTTGAAGCGGAACATTATTGATGGACACGCAAACAAGATTCTTGCTCGTGTTTTCGTACGCAATTTACATTGACGGTAAGTTCAGAATTCTATCGTTTAGTCTCTCTCTCTCTCTTATTTGCGAATGTTATTGAAAATGTGTGGTGTGCGGTCACGGTAATCGCTCGCCAATCACGTTTGATTCGCCACGGTCGCTTGCCGTGCCTTAAATTGCACTGTGTTGGTTGTTTAATGTGGTTTCGGATGTGGCCACTTTATTTCTTCAATGTGATAAGCAGTCTGGTATTGAAAATTAATATCGTTACATTTTAAAAAACATACGAAAAGACCGGCTAAACATTCTGCCCTACTAGTGTATTATCAAAATATTTTTAGACAAAAAGACAAAATTTCCACCTTTGCGCATTTCTAGTGGCGTATGGTCACAGAGAAGTAAAAACTTTGCAAAGAGAAAAACGTACAAACATAGCAGACCTCAATAAATTACCTAAACCCTTTTAAACTGTGGTCATTACAAAATGATATAGAACCTTGACTTATAGCCAATTATGCTACAATTACATACTAAGTTCTACTAAGCTAGAAAGTAACCTTGGCTATCATGTTGTAATTTATAACAGTAGTCATGCACGTCACGCATATGCTTGGTAATCAGCTGTTTAGACAGCTGTAAAATAAACACGACAACTCGTGTCACATTGTGGATAAAACGCGTTTACATGCAGCAAATAGCTAGACTGTCTACATGAAAACTTGGCTATAAACTACGAACAAAACCATCTGAAAAGCGGTGTCAACAAAGGTAACAAGGAAAATGTTCATGCGTATCAGACACCGTTTAGGCAGATCCAAAACTTACTTTACTCAAAGCAAAGCATTCAAATACTTCAAGCGACTGCTTCAAGAGACACATACGAAATAGCTCGAGGCTCAAATAAAGCGAATACATATTGGTGTAAAATCATATGGTACGTGGAAAGGTAAGCCCTGACCCTATGTAGAACGATAAGATAAAAACATTGGCGCAAATTATCTTAAGAAAATGTTAGTTGCAAAGGACCAAAACACTCAGAAGACCTGGGGGCTATCTCAAGGACTGTATAATACAACTGATCGTACATCAAATGGACAATGATCGTGAGACTCGTTTGCAGGTATATGAAATGTAATGTTTACAATGTCACCAATACAATAACAGGAAATTTAAACTTGCATCGCGTGCAGTATACGGAGGAATTCTCAAAGATCGGTCACCAGCACGGCCGCGTTTGTAGTGGCATTCAAAACAGGACACCTTGTTGGTGTTTGACGCGACGATCGACCGATTTTCATTCAGTGTCAGCTTAAGGGTTTGGACTTGGGTAAAGTACTGGAGATTATTAAGAAAATATTGGGAAAACTTATCAAACACGTGACTTCAATTATTACATGTTAGAGGTGTCTATCCTGAATGTTAAGTGATTTGTTTTATACTAACTTTATGTCATACGAAACTATTTATATGCAAAACTACAACTTGAAGGCGAAAATATGAAAATGCTCAGTTATGTCGGAATAATTCATCTGGGCTTTTTA